TTATTTCAAGAAATATATTCAGCATTTCGATTACGTTCCCGCATTCCGCTCCTTAAGAATCGAACTTAGGCATTCTGCGTTACGATCGAATCGAAAGAGGAAGAGAGAAAACATCTTTCGAAATCAGCTGTTTGCCTAGGAATGTGTGAAATCGAAACAAAACAAAGAAATATTGGCCACCAAACTATAGCAGCTTATGAAGTTGGAGTTTGTAAATATTTTAAAATAACTAAATATATCTAGCATCACTGTAATTTAAAAATAAAGTTTCGTTTGCTCTTAATTTAAGTGGAAACATAATTATAAGATAAAATCCATAGCCGCGGCGTTATTGCTTGAAGAGGAGGACGAGTCCCAGATTGCTGATGCGGAAGTTGAAAGGCGGAGATTTAGGGACATGTTTGATCCTTCTCATATGAGTGGAGTAATAAAAAATTCATCTTGAACTGTATTACTCATCGCTCAAATCCAGTGAAATTATAAACGTTGTTTGAGGACCCCACAACATTTGCATTTACTACAGAGTGGAAGATTTGAACGCAAATGAATTCCATTTTGAAAGCCATCAGGAGGAGGGGAAGAACAAAGCTTATCCTTCCATAGCAAATCGAATTCGAGACAACATACACACCTCTTTTTAAAAAGTTAGTAAAAACGAGCGCAATAATAAAAACATCTTTTTTATGTAACTTCACATTTTATGTATGTATATATGTATGCACATATATACATTAGGGTAGTCCTTAAATGTATTAAGTACATTATTACATCAGATTTCCTAAACGTCAACCCCGACATCGACGCTAATATAGTCAAAGATATCACACAAAAATTTTGGTCCCGATCGGGGACGGTTTAGGCGTGTCGCACAGGGGTCAAAGTTCAGATTCCTCTATGGAGACTCAAAAAATTAAAATTAACATTTTTTCATCTAATACCCAAAATCGATACTACTAACCATGATAAAAGCATAGCAAGGTAGAACCGTTCTCTTAATTTGTCGGCCATGATTTTTTTTGAAGTTTGCCAACATTTTAAAATCATATAAAAGTGAAAATAAAAAATTGAAATTGTTCGAAATTGTTGCTGCTTGAGATTGAAAATGAAAATGTGTGTGTGAGTTTGTGAGTAAATTTAAAAATTAAATTGTTTGGAAACGTCAAGAATTTTAAAAGTGACTCTCAGCGGTTCTACCTTACTATATTTTTATCAT